TCCCAACCCAACCCAACCCAACCCATTTAGTCCCAAATGGGTTAAGATAGTTCATGGAAAACCTCGTCATAGTCACAAGGCTTAGTCCAAAGAGCCAGTCAGGATATACAAAATATGGTAACTGCATGGACGAAGAATAATGATTCAAAGAAATGGTCAAAAGGTTTGCCCTTTGTCCAATTTGTCAATAACACAACTTACCAGGAAGAAATACGCCAGAGCCCATATGAAGCCTCATCCTTATCTCTACCTGGCAAACAATTTACAAATATTGCAACTGAAGAACAGCTCGAAGAAATTGTTAATTGTTTCAACAAAAAAATTTGGGCAGTGACCATATTCCAATATGATAGTACAATCTAGCAGGTTTTCGATTCAAACATTAACTAAACAACAACACGAGGACAACCAAAATTTTATTGAAGAGGAGCTGCGACCTAACACGTCTTCCTTTCAAGTATTGACTAAACAACAACACGAGGACAATCAAAATTCTATTGAAGAAGACCCACAACCTAGCATGTCTTCATTTAAAACATTAACTTGACTAACTTTTGTGCAATTCAAAGTGCCGTAGCAGTTTAAGACATACATATTGCGAGTTGGTGAATGTTGACATTTACTAGGGGATGTCGACTTTTACCAGATTTCGGTCTTACACGGTAACATATACACTTAAGGTTGGGGCAAAATTTATTTCCATGTTATTAGAATCCACCAAAATCGCCAATGACTACGAGGTTAATTAGTGTACTTTAAGGCCCTACATTTATCCGCAGTATTCAGCGAGGGTCAAGTTATCATTTAAGATATTAATGATCAAAAAAACAAGAAACGTAAGTTACTTTTTGAAACTTAATATTATCTCGTACATAAAATTAAATCTGATAGGTATTTATTTTATGAAATAAAACAAGTGAGAAATTCTTTTTTAAAATAATTCCGACATGTAATAGGGATTTATAAGCCCCACGATAATCGAAATAACCCATCGTTCCCGACTGCATCCCGCCACCACCACCACTGCTGCCAACCACCGAAGCCGCTAGCACCAATTTTACCTCCTCCTCCTACCATCCGAAAAGTCCCAAGGCTCCCCTAAATTATAATAGTGCGGTCATATTTTCCCTCGCCGAGTATATCAATTTGAGATCGACGTACCCAAGTTAAAGTTCGGCTACGACGACGACGGCGCCACCACCCGCCCCACGGATACCGGTGCATTATTTATGATAAGACGGGGGCCCACGAACGCCGTCGCGGCCGTATAAAACAATTTGCGACGCCCGTTTTTATCAATAATACACTCGGCCTTTGTCGCGAAGCTTTCGTTCGTGTTGTATATAGGTATACGGTCGGGATACGACAACATTGACGCCCTTCGCTGTGGCGATGGGCGTCGGATTTCGAAACGTTTCGTTCGTAGCATGGTTCACCGTCTGCATCTTAACATCTTACATACATTTGTTATGGAAGGATGGAAGTTCACGTTCGACTGTGTTGCTAGTATCTTATCCAAAAAGACGTTTTCCAATGGAAAACCCCAGATGAATAATGAAAAGATCATGAATATTAGGTTCTTCAAATTTATTTTCAGTTTACTAAGTAAATAACAAATCTATTAAATGTGATACATGTATAATCGACCTGTTTACAATTTATTTATTTGTTGTTAACTCCAAATTTTGATTATGTTGATAGTTATGTTAAAAAAGTAACTTAGAGCAGATGTAGGTCAAAACGAACAAAAGAACTCGTTGTTGAACAAAAGAGTAAAAAACAAAACCTTATTAATACCCAAATACCCTTTTGAGTTTGAAACCAGTCAACTGTTTCACAGGGTTGTGCGAACAATGCAGATTAAAAGTTATACCAACTATAGGAGAAATTTTATGATAATATCTCAAGCCACGATATCAAAATGATCCTATTAGATATGAATGGCAAACTAGACGTCTGCAGTGGCCTGATTGAATGATAATTTAATGTAATAAAGACAACAGTGTCTTCGTAGTACGACGCAGAAATGGAAAAACAAGAGGAAGAGGATCTTTTATTATAACTATTATTGCGACGCACCTTTTTTTATGCACTGAAGAGGAGGATTTCCAAAATATATTGGTCAACTGATTTACCACTAGTAAAGATATCACGGCAACCTTAACATGTTTCTTCTAAAGAGCTATATTACCACATTATGATAGACAAAAGAGCTGCGAGTAGCATCCTAGAAGAAGAAAAGCATGCTGCGGTTTAGACTATTTCCTGGTACGTGCAAAATTCCGATGTTATATATCCAAGAATGGTACCCACAGGGACAAAGAAAAAATACAAAAAATGGATAGGGATAGACACTCAAATACCAAACGTAAGGAGAGACTTAGAAATAGGAATAAGAGCAAGACTGATATGTAAAAACCATCCTAGCGACTAGAATTGCTATAGCAGGGAGGCTAAAAGCTCGCTGCTTTTCAAATTGAATGAAAAATTTGTTGATATGTCAGTATCGAGGTATAATGGCATCTTCGTGGTACGATGCAGAAATGGAAGAAGAAGAGGAAGAGGATCTTTTATTATTACGAAGCACTCCACATGATATTTTCTCAGCACGAGAAGAATCTTCTGCAAGCCGAAGACAAGTTTCGACATTTTCCTCGCATTAACATTAACAAGTTCAATTTTGAGTTAGCTTTGATTGAGAATGACTTGAAAAAATAATCATGTGGACCAGTTAGAAATTAAAATAAGTAGGTTCGGATTGGATGGAATATCTATCATAAACGTGATGTGTCTTTTTATTGGTTTCGAGAAAACAGTCAGGTATTTGCAATGAAACAGACATAGTAGAAGATGGTCGCAGCAGCTTCATCAATTCTAGCTAACCAACCAGCTATCCATTTTTGCTTTTATTTGGGAGGAAAGTGAGAGTTATGTTTTTGATGTGTTTTGACAACATTGAGCAGACTCCCATATTGTTCTGATCTTGCAGTACTGCTACGCTCAATAATGTTAAAAATTTTGCTTGCAGTTTTTTGTCACTTTAGACAATTTAGAGAGGAGGAGGAGTAAGATGGGTGAAACAACTATTAGCTTTCTCAAAGAAGAAGAAGAAATTGTGCTCAAAGCTCAACCTTATTGAATAGTTTCGCCAATATTCTATGGTATCAATAAATGATAGCATTTCTTAAACAGTTTCTTAAACTTGTTGGAAGTCTGCTATAAATACAATAACGGCTGATTTCAGTTATTTATATAATGAAACACAAATCAGAAGATATATTTTACATTTAGGCATTATATTTACATATTATTTTTTTATTTGAATTTCTATGTATAAGTAATTTTATTTTCTAACAATTCTTTCAAAAATTTTAATTAACTTTATAACATCTTTCATAACTTTATATTTTTGTACAGAATGTTTTACATGGAGCGTTTTATTTTTACCACTAATTTTATTTCAGTTTTAGCATTCTTTTTACTTAATCGTTTTGTATTAATTAGCCGTCACCTTCAGCATCATATGAAGAAGTATTCTTTCATTATGTAAATGATGTTCCTCATAACAGCAGTAACTCTTATACTTGCTTACAGCATTTTTTCTGTGTCGTTAACACAATTTGATGAAGAATTAGATGAAATTGATGGATCTGGTACTGTAGATAATGACGGATTTGATGATAAGGAAAAAAATTCGGATGAAAACGGTAAGAAATTGAGTAAAGTTTTAATAATTAAAGCAATATGGTGGATAAATATTTACAGAAAAAATAGAAACTACTCAAAAAAGAATTTTTTTATCACATACACCAAATTTAACTAATATAGGAAATTATGAATTGTTTCAACAATCATTCTACAATGGTTTTGCAGTTCCTAGTAAGTGATTTGTTTATTTGTAATTCCATAATTATCTGTATTTGTATTTATTAGGAATCTACGGCGTCAGCATCGTTGGAAAACTTCTTAATAAAAATAACACTTTTAGTAAATAATGTTTTTGTGAATTATCGATATTCGAATAAATCTGTAAGTTAAACACTTTTTATTTCAGAAATATTTTAAAGTTAGTTTGGACACTTTATAACAACATTTTTCAACTTTAGAGGCGTTCCAGGAAATTTAAATAATTTTATTAATTTTCATGATACGACTTTTTTAGAGTTTAGAAAGAACAATAATAAAATTTAATTTGGACAGCTTGCAAAACAATACATAATTACAAAAGTGTGTTTCAAAATTAATAATATTTATTAAATTTTTGAAAATGGAAGGATATCATGAACTATTTTGAACAACAAAATTTCTACGAAAAATTTCTGCACACTTTAGCAGAACCCAATAAAATTCGAGAAGTTTCTGCTCTTAAAACCATTAGGATGCTTTCGTTCTTGACTTAATTTGATCTCGTAAGTGTGTAAGCCAAAATTTTTAGTCACAATGTGATTTGAGAAATTTCCAATTTCTGGAAGCAAGTAATTTTGCTCATTTTGAACCGCCCTACTTTGTATAGTTCATACTGCCTTGAAAATGCACTATAACTGTGCGCATCTACCATGACCCATCTAAATGTTTCTTAATACTGTTATATTATGCTCCTTGTTGACTTTAAAACTTAAAGTAAAGAAAAGTTTTGGTTTAAAGTCCTTTCATCGAGTGTTTTTTTTAGAAATTGAATTCCAATATATCGCAATCATGTCTGCATTCTATACTTGTACTCTATACTTGGTCTTAAGTCTTATACATATATATATCTTTCAAAACACAGCAAGTCAGAGGTGGCAACAGATACTTACACTATATTTGGAACAACTCGGATTTTAGACCAAGTTTCATCAGATTATTTGTTTATTTGGAAAAATACAACTCATTAGAATACACATTACTTTTCTGGTCGAGGCAAAAAATATTGTCAAAATGTTGTGAGTCCTGAAAGCAAAGTTACGTTAATTAGTGTTCACCTTCAACGGCTTCTAAAGATTCATTTCATTATATAAGTGATGTTTCTCGTAACAACATTAACTCTTATATTTGCTTATGTCATTTTTTCTGTATCCTTAACACAATCTGATGACGAATTAGATGAAACCGATGAATATGGTGATGTATATTATGATGGATTTGATGATATGGAAAAAGTACCCGATGAAAACGGTAAGAAATAAGATTAAGTTTCTACTAATTAAACGAATTTAGTAATTTAAATCATAAATTTGAGTGAAACCAGCTAGAAATAGTAATTCCTTAGCATTTTGTTTTAACCAACTTTTAAGAATCATCATTTAATTATTAAAAAATATTTCATAAAAATACAAAATTCTTTCTTATCTTTGTACGTTTCGAACTCCTGACTATTATTAAACAATTTGAAGCTGGATTTATTGATTTAGGAAAAACACCAGAACAGAAGATTTGTAATAAATTTGAGCATTTTCGAGGTGTAGAAGTTTATTATTATTGGGAAATATGTAAAACACCTTCTGACAACAATGGTATTTTTTTTTAAATCTATTGATGTAAAAATCATATTAATATAAATAAATTTTAGGTAATCGCAATTATACCCTGTTATTATACTCATCAGATGGAAGGATATTGGTTGCTACTGAAGGAGTTTCAGTTCCTAGTAAATAAATTTCGCTATTTTTCGTCTTAATTTGCTAAGGTTTTAATTAATTTTTAGGCATGAATGGTGAAGATATTTATGGGGAATATCTTGCTGTAAATGAAACATTTAATTAATAAGTGTGGACACAAAAAGAAATTATAACCTTATTGTTATATTATAAAGAAATAAAATTTGGTGCAGTTCACTACCAGTTGCGTTGTTAAGGTAATACCTTTACTAATTTGTTTTAATCGGATCTAAAATTCCATTTTGCGTACTCAATCAAAACACTCGAAGATATAATTGTTGCAAATCATATATTAATTGTGATAATTTTAGTAACATTTCAAAATTATAATAAGGTATAAAACCAGGTTTAGATTTCTTTCGTGGCCTTTAAATTAATTATCGTCAATTTCTGGTTTTTGTGTAGTTGCCTAAAAAACGTGGTTTACCTCGGTTGCGATATGTGTTGAATGGTCTTGATATTTTACACGACCTTGATATATAAACACTATGTATTGATTTTTGATGGACAGCAATAATTTCTTCACTTTCAACTGGTAAAGACCCAGGCTTTCATTATATAAATGATGTTTCTCATAACAACAGTAACTCTTATATTTACTTACGTCATTTTTTCTGTGTCCTTAACCCAATTTGATGACGAATTAGATGAACTTGATGGAGCTGGTGTTCTAAATGACGATGATATGGAAAAGAATTCGTATGAAAACGGTAAGAAATTAATTAAAGTATTAATTATTAAAATAATAATTTGTAAACAATAACTTTGACGAAATTGTTTAGACTTAGACAACATATAGAATGATTTTTTTATTATATGTGCAGCAACTGTAAGAGATGTAGCAAATTTAACTGGCAAAAGACATCATGTGTGGATTAAAACTTACTTTAACGGTGTTGGAGTTCCTGGTAAGTGAATTTTTATTATTTTAACTCTATCTTAATTTTCATTTGTATTTATTAGTAATCAACGGGCGTAGTGTCTTAGGAAAACCTCTTAATGTTAATGAGACGTTTAATAAATAATGGTGTCCAATTTAATTCAAAACTATGTTATTTTAATTTCAAAACCATCTATTTGTATTACTTAATTTAAAACCTTTTTCACTCTTTTATTAATTACTTTATTAAAACCAGTTCAAAAAGCATTATGTTACACCATGGCTGAATTGATTGTTTGCAAAGGCGACTCTTGCTAAGGAATTCAATGATTTTCTGCAGGTTTTCTAAAATAGATATTGAGGCAACTTTTCTTTCAAATATATTATCATGTTTCAATGAAACTTCATCTTCAAATTCTTTATGAATACTTCAATATTAGTCAAATTAAGTTCTTGACTTTATGCTTTATCCCGTGAAAGTAAATAAATAAATAAATAAATTAGGGAGTACCAACATTTTTTCGTTTATATTTATCAAATTTTGTTGATTTTGTTTAGGTAGAATTATGACAAGGTTGAGTATTTTTCTAGATTTTTCTTAGGTATGACTTATGTAACTTGCATTCGCCTTCAGCATTAACACCGGAAGCGACATCTTGGATTACATTTTTCGATTTTAAAGAAGTGAATAATTTTTCTTTTTTAACTCAGCTATTTTGATCTATTTTTCAAGGATGTCTAACACATTAAATAAATAAGAATACCATAAAACAGTAATCATAAAAAAAATAATATAGAAATATGATCCAAAATTATCTTATTTTATTTCTAATAATAATGTAAATGATGCTGTATATAAAAGCCTTCACGTTTTTACAAAGGTTGTTATTGAGTAAAAACCTGTTAGAATTAATAATTCCTTAGCATTGTGTGACCAATTGTAAGAATCATCGTTTAATTTGTACAAGATGTTTCGCAAAACAACAACGATACATCTTCTTTCTATCATATCTTTGTACGCTACTTTCGGATTCCCAGCTGTTACTAAATTTAGTGATGGATTTAGTGATATAGGAATGATTCCACAACAGAAGATTTGTAATTGGTTCAGTCATGTTCAAAGCGCCAACGTTCATTATTATTGGGAGATATGTAAATCACCTTTAGACACCAATGGTAATTTTTTTTTTTTTTTAATTTAATTAATTTTTTTAAATTATATTAAAATAAAAAAAGATATTGATATAAATATATTTTAGGTAATCGTAATTATTCTGTGTTCTTGTATGCAACAGATGGAACTGCTAGTGCAGGAGTTACAATTCCAAGTAAGTAGTGTTGCTTTTGTGTGGCTAAATTTGCTAAAATTACACTCTCATTCTTAGGCATGAAGGGGACCGATCTTTATGGGAAGCTTATTCCTGCAAACGGAACATTTAATAAATAAATACTGACACAATAATATGTGTTTTTATAATTATGAAAAACTTTATCCTGAAAATCCAGCCATATTTTCTAATCCCTATGTGATGATTACTCATAGCTTACAGATAACATTTGGTTAGTTCATTAGAAACAATTCCGATCCATAACATTACCTCCTATCATTTTTCGTTTTTGAGTTATAATAAAAATTTTCCAAAATAAACATCAATTTATAAATTTACGTATTGAATTTGAAATAGCAGGCATTCAGATTTGATTTATTATGAATAATACACATTAATAACATTTTCATCCTTGTTTTTTAATTTTCAAGTTCATTTTCAATCATTTTTAGCAAATGTATTTAATTTAAATCTTAACATGCTGTAAATAATAGCCTTCACATTTTCATGAAGGTTATTAAAACCAGTTAGATTCAATAATTTGGTGATATAGGAATTATACTAAAACAGAAGATTTGTAGTAGATTTCTTTAGTAAATTATGATGAGATATAAAATAAGAATTTACGTTTAGATTTTATTTTAAACTTTTTCTGGTTTTTTGCGCAGTTACCCAAAAAGTGTGGTTTACCTCGCTTATCATACGTGTTGAATGATTTCGACATTGTAGACGACCTTCATATATAAATAACTATGTATTGATTTTTGTAATGTTGATGGACAGTAATATATGTATGTTACAGGGAATATTTCAAAATACAAGGTATTAAAAAGATGAATCCTTTATGAAATAATTAAATAGTTTTTACTTTATCACATAAAGAAAGTATTTATTTTCATCTCCAACATATTTTCCTAGCATTTCAAATTTTAGTTTTCGAATTACAATAAACATTTTTGTCCAAAAATCTAAATTTAGAGGTTTGAGTATTTTATAATGTATGACAATAAATATGAAATAGCTGGAATGAAATCGTTTGTGGATTTTGTTTTTACGATATATTTTGAACAATATTTATTAACATCATTTTCATTCATAGTTTTTAATTTTCTAGTTATAAATTATTTGTTGTTGAATGCATAAAATTAGAAATGTTTGGGATTTTAAATCCGCTAGGTTGTTAATAATCACAATTGGAGTATAATCGCTTATAGATGCCGTTTTGATTGTTCATTATAAACAATTTTAATCAATAACATTTTCTCCTATCATGTTTTAGTATTTGAAATATTTGTGATGTTAATCTCATTACGTTGCTAATGGTCATAGTTGGGACATAATTATCAGCGGATAACGTTTTGATTATTCGTTACAAACAATTTTCATCCACAATATATTTTCGTATTATTTTCAGTTTTCGAATTATAATAAACCTTTTTATGCTAAAAAGTTAATTTAGAGGTTTTAAGATTTTATAGTTTATGACTATAAATGTGAATTTGTTAGAATAAAATTGTTTCTGTATTTTGTTTCTATGATATATTTTGAACAAAATGTATTAACATCATTTTCAACTATAGTTTTTAATTTTGTAGATAAAAGTTATTTGTTGTTAAATAATCACAGTTGAGTTATAATTTATAATTGCTTGTGGATCCTGCTAGTTCGTTAAAAAAAAATATTATCCACAACATTTTCAGTTATCGTTTTTTGCTTTCGACTTTTGTAGTGTATAAATAAAAATGCGAAATAATTGAAGAGAAATCGTTTATGGATTCTAGTTATATGATTTATTATTATAGTTTTTATTAATATTATTCTTATCCACAGCATTTAATTTTTGAGTTAAAAAATATTTTGTTGAGATACGACATTCGTTTGTTGACTTACATATAATCATGGTGCCTTCAAATAAGCATAAAAAATTGTTTATTACTTGTAATTTTTCCGGAAAATGGGTCAACTTTATATTTTTAGATGGAACACTCTATTTAGAAGTTGTTAATGGTAACACTCGGAAATCGGAGCATGTTATGAAAAAATTTTTAGAACAAAAGTTATAAAAAATCTTATTGTTAATAATATTGCTCTCTATACTTTTGCTCTTAGCTGCATAGACATCGAGATAAATAGTAAAATATAAAAGTTTGATGAATTTGTTGCTTTTTCAAACTATTAAAGGTATCACTCTGGAATTAGAGCATGTTATAGAAAATCTTTTAGAACAAAAGTTATAGCAAATCTTATTGTTAATAATATGCTCTCTACACTTTTGCTCTAAGATGTACCGACATCGAGATAAATACTAAAATATGAAAATTTGATGAATTCGATGTTGTTTGCACGTTGTTGATACTAACACTCGGAAATCGGAGCATGTTATAAAAAGCTTTTAGAACAAAAGTTGTAACAAATTTTATTTTTAACAATATTGCTCTTTTGCACTTTTGCTCTTAGATGCATAGACGTCGAGATAAATACTAAAAAATGAAAATTTGATGAAGTCGTTGTTGTTTGCACGTTGTTGATGGTAACACTCGGGAATCGGAGCAAGTTATAAAAAAACTTTTAGAACAAAAGTTGTACCAAATTTTATTTTTAACAATATTGCTCTTTTACACTTTTGCTCTTAGATGCATAGATATCGAGATAAATACTAAAATATGAAAGTTTGATAAATTTGTTGCTTTTTCAAGTTATTAAAGGTATCACTCTCAAATCAGAGCATGTTATCGAAAATCTTTCAGAACAAAAGTTATAGCATATCTTATTGTTAATAATATTGCTCTCTACACTTTTGCTATTAGATGCATAGACATCGAGATAAATACTAAAATATGCAAATTTGATGAATTCGTTGTTGTTTACACATTGTTGATGGTAACACTCGGGAATCGGAGCATGTTATAAAAAAACTTTTAGAACAAAAGTTGTAACAAATTTTATTTTTAACAATATTGCTCTTTTGCACTTTTACTCTTAGATGCATAGACATCGAGATAAATACTAAAATATGAAAGTTTGTTGAATTTGTTGCTTTTTCAAACTATTAAAGGTATCACTCTAGAATCAGAGCATGCTATAAAAAAACTTTTAGAACAAAAGTTGTAACAAATTTTATTTTTAACAATATTACTCGTATCGTAAATCTACAGATACATCGGTGGGATTAGCAACTTTGCTTGGGAGTGTTAAGAGAGTGAAAGATTTTCACTTTTACCACGAGAAATTACCTAAAAAATACTTTAAACTAATTAAAGACACACGAGGATTGCAAAATATCATGGCAGTCATATTTTCCGAGAATATCAGCGCAAGGGTATAAAAGAGAAAGAATATGGCATGAATAACACATACGTATATGAACATTTAAAAACAGGTTAACATTATGTGTCGCTATAACATATGTGATTATCTGTTGTTAAACAGTATTTACAAAGAATTCTTGTGTTGTGTACTAGTGATAAGCAATGTCAGCAAAGTATAATTGGAGGAATTAGCCCCAATACGAGTCCTGCAATTTATTTACACAGCCTGCTGCATTGTAAAAGAGATCAGGACTACTCTCCTTAATGCCATGTTTTAGCTGCATTAGCAGAAAGTCCCTTTGATAAGCTGCTATTATTACTATCTCATGTGAATCGAATTGACATATAATGATGCTTCTGATGTCATAAGCAACGATCACCAATTCTTTTCCAATTTGCGAAAGGAAGTAGTAATCTTCTACATCATCTATATACGGCGGAAAATATTGCATGCTACAATCACTTTTGAAATACCATCTGAATTTCTGTACTACGCAGCAATTTCACACAGGTGCAAATCGTTGATGAAAATCTGAAACAATAATTCTGGAAGAGATCCACCACGCGATTCTATAACATAGCATTCTACACAATAGTATTTGCCGATTTCCAATAACATTCTGTGACATTTTCCTCATGAAGAACATCAATTTTGATGCTTGCGCATATCAAAGGTGTCTCATAAGAAAAAATATTGAAATTACTCTGGAATTTTTATGAAGATACCTATTCATTCGTGTTAAGGAAAAAAGAAATGTCAAAAACGATAATCGACTGTTCTACGTTTGAGATTCCTCTGCACTGTAAGCATAAATTGCAATCATTAGATATCAGTGTTTACATTGATACTATGTGGTATCGATGTAGGTTTGAAGGTAGCAGTAACAAACAGTAAGTATTTTTATGAAGCTGACATGAATTGCCCTAATGTCTTTATGATGCAAGAGATGATTTAATACTAGAAATGCTCCCTGTAGAGGGATGCTAGAGGATCCTAAGCTCTGTTATAGAACTAGAGGTGCTAAATTAATTGCAAAGAGAGATGTTACTAATGCTCTACTACCATGTGACGTTATAGATACTTTCTTATTACAAAACTGTCTACAAAGAGAGTCTAGAGATGACGTTCAAAGACGAACTATTCTGGTATCTTTTTGATCCTTAAGATGCTTTGATAAAAATGAAATGGTTCTTATAGAGAGGTGTTAAAAATTGCAAAGCATATCTATGAAACTGGTTCAAGTTAACGATGACTTACAGAGAAAGAGAGAGAGAGAGAGATGTTAGAACTATACTAGAACTTACCTATTAAAAGATGTCACATATTCAAAGTATCTATCTGGTGATTAGGTGTTTTTCAAACTTTTATGATCATTTCTGAGTGTTCCATAACTACCATAATTTATACATATGGCTCAGTTCACGTTCATGTAGTCTTTCCTATAGCAGAAAACACGAAATTTGTTGTTACAAAACTTTCTAATAGTGTTGTATCTCCGAATTATAAACACAGCTCTACAATAACAAAATTTTTTTTTGCCAAAGCAACTTCATTGGGAGCAAGATGTTTGGCCTGTAAGAAATTCTTTAACTGTCGGTAAAGCCAATGTAATAAGAGAGCCGTATTAATAGGTGAATGGGTTTTCATCCATATTGGTATATTATATATGTTTTTTAATAAAATATATTGGAGCATAAACATTGTTTATTTGTAAAAAACACATACTACATATTAAGTTAAGAGTGATAAAATAATTTGTAAAAGGGTTGGACAAGGAAGGAGATTGTTTTAATTACATTTGTAGAAAATTTTCGAAGCTTAGTAT